TCCTCGTACGTCACCACGGCCTCTGGGATTTCGTGCCGCAGAGTAGAACACATGCGGTCCAGCACTCGGTTCAGCCACACTTCCACCTGGGGACGGGAGCCACATTGACCAGACAGGCCCTTGCGGCAAGTTCCAAAGACTTGCTTTGTCATTAAAAAAATAAATGGACCATTTGCCATCATTGTCATCCCAGGGGTGGAAAAGTCAAGGTTTTGTAGAGCAGTAAGAATGACCCACTTAACAAATGTGGTTGGGAAGCCGGGGGGTGTCCCTGCAAGACTTTTGCCTTGGGCGTTCACGTGCTTACGCTATTTCTAGGAGGACAAGGGAGGGGATCCAGAGAAAATTCTAGAAGAGAAGACAGGCTACATCCGAGCCCCTGAGGCGCCGTCCTCTCAAGTCCCTGGCAGGTTCTGGCTGCTCCTCGGGTGCCTGGTCTCAGGGTCCCAGACAGTCACACAGGACAAACCTTCTTTGTATTTTATTTGCAGACAAGCCTTCTTTGTATTTTGAAATACAAACCCTTCACTAGCCACTACGGGTTGGGGGGGAAGACCCAAACAGGACAATCGGCTTGGTTTTTCTTTTAAACTATAAACACAGTGCCCGCGGTTGTGAACACACCGTGATGACTGGGTTTCGCCAGGGCCCCCACCAACCCCGGCCGCGCCGAGCAAACCCGCCAGGAGCTCCGGGCCCACGTTTCTGAAGCTCCAGTTTTCTTGCGTGAGATTTTCCTCTTTTTTCCCCAGCTGATTTCTCTCCAAATTACATTTCACTTAGGAAAATGTCAAAGTCAATTTGGTTGCTGAGTTGGGCGGTGAGATGGGGGAGAGGGGCTGCGGGGCCGCTTGGTGTCGGCAGGAGGAGGCCGCCTCATGGGTGGCTGGGGACGGGAACGGGGCCACCCGAGGTGAGGAGCCGATTGTTCTGAACAGGGATTAGAAAGCAGCGGTTCAGGCGTGTGGGGGCCCCTCGAGGCAGTCCCCTGGCAAGCCCAAGACAGCCCACCGGCATCCATAACCCTCTCCGCTCCCCTTCTTCTCTGTCCGTTTTTTTCTCAAGATGCACCCGGACTACACGGGTCAGGCTGTGCTGGAAATTCTCTACGGAAGCTGTTGGAGCGCTTGCTGGATCGAGGGACAGTCCCGGGCTGGGTGGCCGGGGGGCGGCCCGTCCGCCCTGGATGTGCCCCCGGCACTCACCTGCCCTGAGAGGTCACACTCTTGGTCGAAGTCCACGTACTCGTCCTCCTTGCTGAACATGCCCAGGCCGAATTTGAGAGGCTTCTCGTCGGCATCAAGGCGAAACTTGAGTTTACACAGGCTGTCGAAGAGCTTGGCCAGGTGGCGGCTCACCTGGGGTGGGGGTGGGGGCAGACACGGGGTCACGGAACCCAGGGCCTTGGAGGGGGTGCAGCGCAGCCGGGTTTTCCTTGGGCAGTTTTAAGCGTCTTTCTGATTTTTGGAATTAACCCCCCCACCACCCCGTCTGATTGGTGTTAACTAACGTGCTTAACCAACCAAGGGGCATCTCAGAGACCAGCCCCGGGATCCCAGGTCTGTTCCTGAAGGTGACAGGACACTTTTCCTTGACAAGCTCGGTCCCAGGCCCTCGGCCCGTTTCCCTGGGCCACCCCGTGCGTCCCTTCTGGTGGGTGTTGCAATTTTAGGATTCGAATAAAATATAGTGTTTTCCTTTCACCTAGTGAGTTAAGCCCTCTCTCTTTTCAGAAGAGCCTCGAGGAAACACCTCCCCCTGGCTCTTGGGGTCCCGGATCTGTCAGGATGACCCCGCAGCCACCTAGCGAGCGGGCGTGTCTCCCAGAAACAGCGTCTCGCCAAGCTTCTGGCATCTAACCCATTTTCCAGATGAGGAAAATGAGGCAAGGGGTCTCTCTGTCATGGCCGGGTCCCCTGGTGGTTTCTGGGGCCGATGACCTTGTGGAGGCGGTCTGGGGACCTCCATGCGCAGGGCTCCAACCGGCCAGGGCCACCGAGACATGGGGGCAAGCACGGGGCCACCTTCGGAATGCCAAGGGCCCGCCTACCTCCACGGGGTCATTTCCGTTAGAGAGGATGTCCAGGAGGTCAGCAGAGGAGACAAAGTAGAACCTCGGGAAAGCCAGTCTTTTTGTCTCTAAATATTCCGCCAAGGCCTTCTCGCACACAGCCAAGCTAGGAGGGAGGAAACGGGGAGGTCGAGGCTTTCTGCAGCCCATCTTGTCCTTGCCAGACGGACGACAGCCCCAGAGACACCCGGTCTGCTGTTTGCAGCCCCAGTTAGATTCAGACCTTGGAACCTGACCCGCCGTGTGGGGGTCCCTCTGAGGCTGAGGACACGCTGTGTGGCCAGCGGGCACAACGTGGCCCGGAGCACCAGCGCCCAGGGAGGAGAGTTTGCCCTGTCCTGGGTGGCGGGGGCGGGGGGGGGG